CGGGTCTTGAACTCTGAATTATTTCCATCATCTGTTTGATTGGTTTTTCTTAGCTTTCCTTGCTTTCTTTAAAAGATTTGTTCATTTCTTGGTTTGTTTTTTTTTTTTTTTTTTTTGGCTTGGCCTTTTCCTCTATTTCTTCCAGTTTGTTAGTTTTTTCTCCCATTTCTTTAAGGGATTTTCTCATATCATCTTTGAGGGCCTCTATCATTTTTATGACGTCATTCTTTTCTTTGAACTTTTTTTTTCTTCTCTTTTTTTATTTAATTTTATATAACAAAGTCCAATTAAATGAAAACAAACATTTATACACAATATTTGGGAATTTGGGTGTCGTTCTTTCCAAACTACTTCCTGCTGGTAAGGGGCGCTGTCTTGGGAGATTTGAAGAAGATTCAGATATCCTAGCTGTAGTCTGTAGGGCTGTTTTGTCCAGCTGTTTTGAATGTAGGATCAGCTTGTACTCTGTTTCAGGCGTTATGACATCATTTTTAAGTTGCTGTCTTTTGCTTCATCTGCTTTGGTATGTTCAGGTCTAGTTGGAGTAGAGTCCCTAGATTCTGGTTGTATCATACTGGTCTTTCCATTGTTGGGTGTTTTCTTGTATTGTTGTTTTCCCATTGTTTCTTCCAGTGGTTGCAGGCAGAATTTGTCTCTACTTTGCTCTCCTGGTGGGTGTAGTTGGGTCAGGAGTTCGATGTCTGCAACTCTGGATGATCCAAGGTCTCTTGGAGTTCTCTCCTCTGGCAGAGGACAGGCAATAGGGTCCAAAGATCAGGTAAGTTTGGCCCAGCAGTACAACGCGTGACATGAAGGCAGGCTTTGGGTGTTGTATGGAGCAGAGTACCAGGACTTCACCATCCAAGGCCAGGGGGAGATGTGGAGCTAACCCAGGGAGTTCCCGGGGAGGATTTAGGGGGGTATTCAGCCTAAACTGGTCCCAGACTCACCTCAGAGAGGACCAGAGGCAATGGGTTCCAATCACCAGGCCTCAAGGTGGTCTTGTGTGGATAGGTGAGTCCAGGTTGCTCAGAGCAGACCCAGGAAATTCCATGGAGGTGGAGAGGTTGTTAGACCCACACTTTGGCCCAGTGCTCACCTGGAGCAGCAGGCCAGCAGGACCAAGGGTGAGGGGGCAAGTATAGGTTTTTAAAGTAGGTCTTTATGTTCCTCATTGTTATATCTCCCTTTTATTTCTAATTTTGTGGATCTTTCTCTGCTTTTTAGTTAATTCAGATAAGGGTTTGTCAATATTAATGATTTTCTCAAAGAACAATTCTTTGTTTCATATATTCTTCGCATTGATTTTTTTTTTGTTTGCATTTATTTATTTATTGCTGATTCTATCCCTGAGTTTGTTTATTTCTTGTCACCTACTCCTTTTGGGTGTAATTTCTTCTTTTTGTTCTAGAGCTCTCAGGTACACTGTTAAGTTACTTGTATGACATCTTTCCAACTGCTTTTATGTAAGCAATTAATGCTTAGAACAGCCTTCATGTGTCCCTTACGTTTGGGCATGTTGTGCCTTCATTTTCACTGTATTTTAGGAAGTCATCAATTTCTTTCTTTATTCTCAGACAGGTAGACCTGTGGAAAAGCCTGTCTTGCTGGTCTCTTCCTGGGGCCTAGCAGGATGGAGTGAGTGACAGCAACCTAGATTTCTCCCCTCACCCCCGCCCACCAGAGGAAATCACACTGAGCCATGAGCCAGGAGACTTGTCCAAGCAGGATCTCATTTTATTTTATAGAGTGAGAGAGTGTGGAACTTAGGATGGGGTGAGGTGTAAGGGCCAATGATCTCTCAGGTCAGGTCTTGCTGAGCCAGTCCTATACGGAAGTTATAGGCCAAAGACAGGTCACCAAATTTTAGCCAGGCTCAGGAAGTTTTACTAGGCCTCATGACCCAGCCTTTTTAGACCCAACATTTTATTTCTTACTTGACACAGTAGTCATTCAGTATATGATTTGTAGGCTTTCTGTTGTTTCTGTTATTGTTGAAATCCAATTTTGATCCATGCTGGCCTATAAGATGCAGAGGATTATTTCAATTTTCTTGTATCTGTTGAGACTTGCTTTGTTTCTGAGTACGTGGTTAATTTTGAAGAAAGTTTCGTGAGGTGCTGAGAAGGAAGTGTCTGTTTTTATGTTTGTGTAAAATGATCTGTAAATATATGTTTGGTCCATTTGTTCTGTTTAGTTTTTAATCTAGATGACCAGTCTATTGTTGAGGATGGGACATTGAAGTCTTCCCCTGTCGATGTGACTGTCAATATATGATTTAAGCTTAGTAGTTTGTTTATTTGTTTGTTTGTTTTTGAACTTGTGTGTCATTTTATTTGGCACACAGAAGCTAAGAATTTCAATGTCCTCTTTCCTTACCTCCTCTGATTAGTTTTGGTTTGAAATCTATTTTGTCAGATAATAAAATGACTACAATAGCTTACTTCTTAGGTCCATTTGCTTAGAGTATCTTTTTTTATCCCTTATCCTGAGTTGATGTCTCTTCTTGATGTTAAGGTGTGTTTCTTTGATATAGCAGAAAGATGGACCATGTTTTCCACAACCAATCTGTCAGTCTGTATCTTTTTATTGGCAAATTGAGATCACTGATGTTGAGAGATATCAATTATTTGCAGATTCATATTATTTTGTTGTTGTTGCTGTTGTGGTGGTGTGGTAGTCAGCACGTGTGTGTGTGTGTGTGTGTGTGTGTGTGTGTGTGTGTGTTTGTGTCCCACTTTTTGATTTTCTTGCCAAGGATTATTTATTCACTGTATTTTCTTAAGTGTAGTTAACCTCTTTAGGTTGTTTTCCTTCTAGTGCCTTTTGTAGTGCTGGATTTGAATGTAGATATTGCTAAACTTTGAATTTTATCATGCATTGTCTTATATTCCCACTCTTAGGCATTTACCAAAATGGTCCACAACTATGCATCTGTCCCACTATGTTTGTAGCAGCATTATTTGTAATATCCAGAACCTGGAAGCAACCTAGATGCCCCTCAACTGAAGAATGGATAAAGAAGATGTGGCACATTTACACAATGGAATACTACTCAGCAGAAAACAACAGTGAAATCTTGAAAGTCACAGGCAAATGGATGGAACTTGAAGAAACCGTCATGAGTGAGGTAACCCGGTAACAAAAAGAGTAACATGGTGTGTACTCACTCATATATGGAGTTTAGACATGGAGCAAAGGATCACCAGCCTATAATTCACACCGCCAGAGAAACTAGGATACAAGGAGGGATCTAAGAGATTCATACAAATCCCTCACAGAAGGGGAAAGGGACAAGATCTCCTGAGCATATTGGGAGTGAGTGGAGAGGGAGCTAGGAGAAAGAGAAGGGGAGGAGAGGAAAGCATGTGGGACTAAGAAGATTGAGCCAAGGGATGAATAGACAAGATAACACACACACACACACACACACACACACACACACACACACACAGAGAGAGAGAGAGAGAGAGAGAGAGAGAGAGAGAGAGAGAAAGAGAGAGTCCGTAATAGAGGAAGTCTTATTATAGGTTTGAAGAGAAAACTGACTCCAGAGAAATGTTCAGAGACCTACAAGGATGACCCCAACTAACAATCTGAGCAACAGTAGAAAGGCTACCTTAAATGTCCTTCCCTGATTATGAGATTGATGACTAACTTATCTGCCATCATAGAGCCCTCATCTAGTATGAGCCAAACTCCTGGAATCCAGTTGCTGAGAGGGAGGATTGATAAGAAAATGGGGTCAAGACCAGGCTACAGAAACCACAGAGACAGATGACCTGAAGAAGGGGGAGCTCATGGACCCCCAGGCTGCCCAGACTGACAGCTGGGAAACCAGCATTGGACCGACTCTGTCCCCCTGAACATAGGTCTCAGTTAAAAGACCTGGGCAGTCTAAGGGACTTCTGACATTGGAATCAGGATGTAATCCTTGTGCATGAAAGGACTTTGGGAGCACATTCCCCATGGAGGGATACTCCCTTAGTCTAGAAGCAGGAGGGAGGGCCTAGTCCCTACTCTAAGTGAGTTGACAGATTTTGTTGGCCCCTCCTGGAAGGCATCACCTTCCCTGTGGAGTGGGGAGGAATGGGATGGGAGGGTGGTCAGGGGAGCATGGGAGGGAGGGTGGGAGGGAGAGGGAACTGGGATCGATATATAAAATAAGAAAAAAAATTATATACCACCCCCCCCACACACACACACAGAAAAGTTCTGCTGGTTGGAGTAGCCTGGGCTGATATCGGTGGCTTCTTAGAGCCTGTAGAATTCTGCCTAGGCCCTTTTAGCTTTTAGAGCCTCAATTGCTTATCCCAGTGCCCAACTCCAGCAGGCATTCCCTGGGAACCCAAGGCCACTTTTGTCAGGGACGTAAGCAGGTTAAACTGCAAATCTTCACCTCCCTTTCTGTTCCTGCAAAACCAGGCCCCAGTCTCATCCAAAGCTCTGTAGCAGACCTTCAGTTATAGTCTCTTCTCTAAGAACAAAAACAAAATAAAGAAATTAAGACCTGGATTCTCAATTGAGGCTCTAAAAATACATAGGGACGGCCGCCCGCCAGGACGGCCAGAGCGCTAGGCCCCAGCGTGGCCCGGGTCCAGCCGCGAGCCCGAGAGCGGGGCCGCTGTCCGTGCGCACAGCGAGGCCGCGGCGGCGGGGAGCCCCGGGTCGGCAAGGCCCAACTCTGTTCTTGCACACAGACCCTGGCGGCGGGGAGGCGCGACACGCCAGTAGCATGGAAGCCGCCGCCACAGCTGCTTGCACTGCAGCGGGCACAGCAACTGCAGCAGCCACCAGCGGCACACAGAGCAGAGGTCGCCCGAGCCATGGCCCGCCCAGCCAGGGGGCTATGTTCTGTTTTGTGCTTTTCCTTTTAGATGCTACTAAAGGGTGTTAGTGATACTTGGGACTATTATGAAGGCCAAAAGGCCTATTGACTGGGGCTGCTTTTAACCCTTTCATATTTGCAGAGATGCAACCATGTGACAGTAACTGAGCACTGGTCCAAAGTCTTTTCAAAAGGTTCACAAGAACATCTGATCAAATTCATGACCATGGGGGATATGAAGACCCCAGACTTTGATGACCTTTTGGCAGCATTTGATATCCCAGATATGGTGGATCCCAAAACAGCGATTGAGTCTGGACATGAGGACCATGAAAGCCACATCAAGCAGAATGCTCATGTGGATGACGACTCTCATACTCCGTCATCCTCAGATGTTGGCGTCAGTGTCATTGTGAAAAATGTTCGCAACATCGACTCCTCTGAGGGAGCTGAAAAAGACAGCCACAACTCCACAGGCAATGGCTTGCATAATGGGTTTCTCACAGAGTCCTCTCTTGACAGCTATGGTAAGGATGGAGCAAAGTCCATAAGTCACCTACCTCAGAGGTAACGCTTAAAGACCCAGCATTCAGCCAGTTCAGCCCCATCTCCAGTGCTGAAGAGTTTGATGATGATGAGAAAATAGAGGTGGATGACCCTCCGGATAAGGAAGACACACGGTCCGGCTTTAGATCAAATGTATTGACTGGCTCAGCTCCCCAGCAGGACTACGACAAGCTGAAGTCACTAGGAGGGGAAAACACAAGCAAGACTAGAATCTCTAGATCCGGCCATGTAGAGAAGAACAAAGTCAAGCGAGAGACAGAAACAAGTTCCATAGGCCTGAGTGTTTATGAGCCCTTAAAGGTGAGGAAAGCAGAGGATAAGTTGAAGGAGAACTCTGAGAAGATGCTTGAGAATAGGGTCCTTGATAGCAAGCTGAGCTCCGAGAAGATTGACACCAGCCTTGCTGCTGTCACATCTTCCAAAACGAAGTCGTCCTCTAATCTCTCTTCGTGCATAGCTGCCATCACAGCCCTGAGTGCTAAGAAAGCTGCTTCAGACTCCTGCAAAGAAGTCATGGCCAATTCAAGGGAAGCTTCTCCATTACCAAAGGAAGTGAATGACAGTCCCAAAGCTGCCGACAAGTCTCCTGAATCCCAGATTCTCATTGATGGCACCAAGAAAGCTTCCCTGAAGCCATCGGACAGTCCCAGGAGCATATCCAGTGAAAACAGCAGCAAAGGGTCCCCATCGTCCCCTGTGGGGTCTACCCCAGCGGTCCCCAAAATCCATATGAAGACCATCAAGACATCTGGGGAGATCAAGAGAACAGTGACCAGAGTGTTGCCAGAAGTCGACCTGGACGCTGGGAAGAAGACTTCTGAGCAGGCGGCATCTGTGATGGCATCTATGACATCACTTCTGTCATCTTCAGCATCAGCTGCTGTCCTTTCCTGTCCCCCCAGGGCACCTCTGCAGACGGCCATGGTTACCAATGCTGTTTCCCCTGCAGAGCTGACACCCAAAAAACAGGTAACCATCAAACCCGTGGTGACTGCTTTCCTTCCTGTGTCTGCTGTCAAGACGGCAGGGTCTCAAGTCATCAATCTGAAGCTCGCTAACAACACGACAGTGAAAGCCACAGTCATATCTGCTGCCTCCGTTCAGAGTGCCAGCAGTGCCATTATTAAAGCTTCCAATGCCATCCAGCAACAAACCGTTGTGGTGCCAGCATTCAGCCTGGCCAACGCCAAACTCGTGCCAAAGACTGTGCACCTTGCCAACCTTAACCTTCTGCCTCAGGGTGCCCAGGCCACCTCTGAACTCCGCCAAGTCCTAACCAAACCTCAGCGACAAATAAAGCAGGCAATAATCAACGCAGGGGCCTCCCAACCACCTAAAAAGGTGTCTCGGGTCCAGGTGGTGTCATCCTTGCAGAGTTCTGTGGTGGAAGCTTTCAACAAGGTGCTGAACAGTGTCAATCCAGTCCCTGTTTACATCCCAAACCTCAGTCCTCCCGCCAGTGCAGGGATCACGTTACCGATGCGTGGGTATAAGTGCTTGGAGTGTGGGGACTCCTTCGCCCTGGAAAAGAGCCTGACTTAGCACTATGACAGGCTTAGTGTGCGCATCGAAGTAACTGGGGCGGTTATTTCAGCGCCTCCAAGCACACCCATCAGCCCAGCTATGCCCTAGACGAAGATCCCTCCAAGCTGTGTAGACACAGTCTCAAATGAGACGTCTCTGGCTACACATTTCCAGTATGCTGCAGATACAAGTGGACAAGTAGAGTATCATTTAAATTTTGGTGTTTTGGTGATGAGTCTGTAGCCATAAGTACTCCATCAGATACCTTGAAATTAGGGGTGACAGCACAGTTATGTGGAGGGCTGTGTGTGTGTGTATGTGTAAGTGTGTAAGCAAGCATGGGAAAAAGATTGTTTTCATAGTATGGGTGAATGAAGTGTTGAAATACAAGGGTGATTCTTTTAGTCAGGTAGAAAGTGTATGCTCTGGTTGAATTATGTAGGTAATTGTTCAGGCATTGGAATATATAGTGAAAGTCTGAGATTTAGCGGTAAATTTAGAGTATCATCCTATCATATTGAGTGTTTAGTTTGGATTACATTGGCACAGTGTGAGTTTTTACTCATGGTTTTAGAATTTTGACAATTACTGGTATGTATAACTCTGACATGACTTACAAACATACCCACCAGGTACCTACTTTAAGGCATGCCTACTTAGGTACTATGGTTCAAAAGCATGTCAGTAGTGTTCATGGCAGTGGATTTTAACTGTGAATTAGAAACCATCTGGCACAGTAAACCTTTGTGTCTTTGCAGCTTTTTTAAGATGAGGTACAAGGTGCTGTTGGTGAAACACATTTTATAATTTGCATCAACTCATTGTCTTGCTCATTTACTTTCTCCATGAAGCAACATTTGTCGAATACATAGTTTGCATAACAAGCATTCCTAACATGCTGAGTGAAATAATTCCCAAGTAGAGAGATCATGGTATATATATTGTTGGGTGAGAAAAGCTGTCTGGCTCAAAGGGGGTGGGGGGATCTAGGTTGAGCTCCTGTTTGAGGTACCTCAAAATCATGCATCTCAAGGTCATGAAGGTCCACTAGCAGGCAGACTTTCCTTTGTTTCTCCCAGTATTTTGTTAACTCTGAGCCTAAGGTAAGAAGCCTGATACTGTCTCTGTAATTTTTCAATGTCAACTGCTGACTTCAACTATTTGTAGGATTGTGAGTTTGGGAAAAGAAAAGATAATCATACCTGTTTTGTTGTTGATTTGTATCCCCCCTCCTCTGTGTTTTCTGTCTAGTTGAAGTAGAAGCAATGAGTTTTGGCCATATTTGGCCATATGGGTGTTTCATGTATCCCAGAAGAGGATATGTTGCCATAGCAGGTATGGCTCTCAGAGCCTGACTTAGTAATGATTATTGGGTTCTGTCAATGCAATACCCCCTTATGTTCTGACCAAATCCCCCCAAGGGCGTTCTTCTTCATCATAAAATAAAAGCCTCAAAGCATGCATGCATATATATATATATATGCATATATATATATATATATATATATATATATATATATATATATATGGGCAATCTTTACAGAATTCATCCAAGTCATTCTAAAATCTATTAGCAAGAGAAAATAATAGTTAATTTATGAATTACACACACACAGACAAATGCTTTGTCTGCATGTATTCCTGCACACATGATTAGGACATTAGATCCCATTACAGCCACCATGTGATTGCTTGGAATTGAACTCATGTCCTCTGAAGAGCAGAACATACAGTGCTCTTAACCTCTGAGCCATCTAAGCAGCCCCCAGAGAGAGAAAATAAAATGTGCAAAAAAATAAAATGATTTTGAAAAACAAAAGTAGTAAAAGGAAAATGAGCTTTTCTTCCTAACCAGGAAAATACACAAAAATGTTGTATTAGTTGTGAAGGTTCAGCATTCATATAGAAATCTATAGTCAATCTGATGGAGTACAGTGGGATCCAAAAACACAGACACATAGGAAGTGTTTCTAGTATCATTGAATGTGGCAAGATCAATAATAGTGGGACAATCATATATTTAGTTACAGGGAATTAAATTTAAATCCCTTACACCATATACAAAATAATTTCAGATCAACTTGAAAAATCAGCGTGCAAAAACCTTAAAACTATACCAGGAAAACAGAGGAATACAGTCTTAATTTTGGCAGTAAAATAACCTTACTTACCTTACTTGGCAAACAGAAATGTCAAGATTGAATGGGAAACATGGGAAACCTGACACATAAAAGTGAAAAGAAGATGTGTCTGACAAGTGGTGCTATGAATAAAGCTGAAACATAAAAAGGTGAGCAGGGAGTGTGAGCATCCATTGAGACTCTCATAGATCAATAAGAATAAAAGATATCTTAAGTTGTGGTCAAGACAGTGATGTTTATTAAATATTCCATGTAAACACATTTCACACCTCCTGTTTGGTGTCAACAGACAGCTATTTCTATTTTTTTTATTAATTACATTCGTTCTTTGACATTTTCATACACATACAAAATACATTCTAATTATTCTCACTCCTCACTCTTATCAACAGGCCCTACCTACAAATCCCTTCCCTCATCTGTGACTTTTGTATTTTGAATAATATAGCTGAATTATTGACCATGTGACCTTCTGTTCAAAGAATTATCAGTTTTAGTGACATGTGTTGTTTTTGAGCCACACCAATGCAAACTATCTCTGTCTTTCCCCACTGAAGAGTGCCCTCAAGCTAATTCACACTGAGAAAAAAGGAAAACTTAATAGTGTTAAACTCAAGGTTTTAGTACTAACTTGTCTGTGCCGCAGTTTGTCTTAACTAATGAGAAAAGAAAACAACAACAAACCAAAACAATAAAAGCAATCTACAGTGGATAAACAATAATGACCAATAAATACATAAAATTATAGACAAAGGAATCATGAAATATTGACAGACTTGGACGATACTTGTATCATTCAAATGTGAGTAGCTAGAGGCCATTATAGCTCTTTTGTGGAGGCCATTTTGAGGGCATCAATAAAAATCTACTTTTACAAATGCAAGACATATATGGTACATAATCAAATGATTTGTAAGTTCAAGATATTCATAGAAACTTACTTTTTTTTTTACCATAAAAACAACTATCTGCCACATAATAAAGAAATATTTAAATAAATTATGGTAATTTCATATTTTGAACTAACACTAAAATAGTATAAATTAATTAAAAACTGTAGATTGTGGAAAGTAGTGGCTTGCAACCATCTCCAAGGCATATTGTTAGATGAAAATTCAAGTTGTTAAATAATATATTTATATAATGTGATTTCATGGCTGTTAACCTTCATATTTGTACATGTAAAGTTTTTTTTTAAATAAATGATAGACTTGTAGGAATAAACAAAGATCTCAGAGTGCTTTATAACATCTGTTTGAATTTTACTATTAGGTCGAAATTTTGCTTTCTGTGGACTTAGGTAACAAAAGGAAAAAACAGAAATAGAAATATGGGAGACTAGAAAAGTAGCTGAAATACTTTTAACATAGTGCTATATTTATGTCCTCTCTTAAGATGAAATATTGACACAGCAATCCTAAAAACAAATAAATGAGTAAATATACTACACATAGCAACAAAGTAAACACAAAACTCCAACTAATGACGGGTAAAAAAATGCATCTAGGAAATAGTAGGAGAGGAAATTTTCTGGCCCCTAAAACTGAAGCTGTGACTCTCACAAATTTCACAAGCCAACCAGGGTCCTCTAAGAGCTCAACCCTGGATGCTTAATACTGTTTCGTGGGAGCTTTGAAAGTGTTGATGACTGGATTATAATTTGGTTCATCTTGGATATGGTTTTGGCATTGTGATCTTTTTTTTTTTCATTATGCATTATTTTTTAAATTTTTTTTCTTATTTTACATATCGATCCCAGTTCCCTCTCTCCCATGACCCCCAACCTCCCTCCTATCCATTCCATCCCCCCCCTCCACGGGAGGGTGATGCCTTCCAGGAGGGATCATCAAAATCTGCCAAGTCATTTGGAGTAAGGTCTAGGCTCTCCCTCCTGCCTCTAGGCTAAGGGAGTATCCCTCCTTGGTGAATGTGCTCCCAAAGTCCTTTTGTGCACAAGGGCTACATCCTGGTTTCACTGTCAGAGGTCCCTTAGACTACCTAGGCCTTCTAACTGAGACCCATGTTCAGGGGCTCTGAGTCGGTCCAATGCTGGTTTCCCAGCTATCAGTCTGGGGGTCCATGAGCTCCCCCTTCTTCAGGTCATCTGTCTCTGTGGGTTTCTGTAGTCTGGTCTTGACCCCAGTTTCTTATCATTCCTCTCTCTCAGAAACTGGATTCCAGGAGTTCAGCTCAGTGTTTAGCTGTGGGTGTCTGCTTCTGTTTCCATCAGCTACTAGATGAGGGATCTATGATGACATATAAGTTAGCTATCAATCTCTTTATCAGGGAAAGGCATTCAAGATCTCTTGAGCATGTTGGGAGTAGGTGGAGGGGCAGTGAGTGGAGAGGGAGTTAGGAGAAAGAGAAGGGGAGGAGAGGAGAACACATGGGACTAGGAAGATTGAGTGGGGGGACAAATAGACAAGAGCCAAAAAAAAAAAAAAAAAAAAAAAAAAGACATTATAGGTTTGAAGAGCAAACTGACTCTAGAGAAACTTACAAGGATGAGCCCAACTAACAATCTGAGCAATAATGGAAAGGTACTGTGATCTTTTAAAAACATCTCTAGATGATTTCAAAAGTACAGAGGAGACTGAGAATCATCACTGTTCACAGAAGACATCACAAAGCTTTTAAATCCTGGAATGCGATGGGGGAAGAAATAACTTCTCTTCCTTAAGTAGCATGATCTGCAAGAACCACAAAAGTGGCTCTGAATAGGGATAATGACCATCCCCTTGCAAGGCTGAGCTGGTGCATGGGCTTTCTGTGGTAAGAGGGAAAGCCTCCAAGATACATAGTACGTTCTTACCCTTTCTATAGCTAAAGTAGCATGCTGCCCTTAGGGAGCAACCCAGCCAGAAACCCAGGAGCTCACACTCAATGCTGTGGCAAAAGTTTCTTAGTCACCATCACTGCAGAAGCTGCTTCTAAGGGACAGGTTCAACTTCAGCTTTTTAATGAGTC